GATGCTTTGCGAGTTTGAAAAACATTCTATTTGAAGGTTCTTTACATGAAGCCCCAGGGACCTTTCCAAACGTTTCTCAAAAATGACCCCAACTTGTTTCTTTGAATTTCTTGTGAGAATAGAGTGAAATGTACTTAAAGATGCCCTTTCTTCACTGACAATTCTGCATTTTTGAAACTTTCTAAAGTTTTAAATTTGCTAGGCGTCTTTCTACAACTACAGTATTGAAGATATATATTTTTTCTTTGAATAAAATTTGTTCTTCAAAAACAAATATTTCATAACAGCCAATTTTGTGTTCTCTAATCCAGCACACTGATTAATAATCAATAGCATTTTTCCAGTTTTTATAATAGTTTAGCAACAATTTGAAAGTAATTTGGATTGCCATTTCATAGTTATTAATAACATTATAATATACATCAAATAACCTACCAAGTTCGGTATCCTTTTTATAACAAAAAATATAAATAAATTATACCTTTTCTTACATTAGTCTAGCTAGATAACTCATACGCCTTCGTTTGTAACAATTCATTTGTTTTGATTGTTCTTAACGGACAGCCGACTGTATAATCCGTAATGGATACCGAACAACCTATCTTTTCGTTTTGTGTTTTACGTTACGTCGGTGTAACAAAAGAGTAATACGAAAATTTATTGCATTTCATACTATGACACATTCCAATTGTTTCCTTGCCGCCAAGTGAACTGGAACGTTTTTTGTGTAACATGATGAAATCTCATGTCAATATACTGACACGGCTCCCTATTTTCTAATAATAATAATAATAATAATAATAATAATAATAATAATAATAATAATAATAACAAAAAACTATTTACTCGCATATACCTGTGCCCCACGTTGGGCAGCCAACTGAAACGGTTCCCCGCCTATCTCTAACTCGTAATTCTTTGTAATCATAAAACATTACTCTTTTGCCCGCACTGTGTGCAATAAACTGAACGAAACCAGCGATTCTTGTGTACCAAGTTCATAGAAAATTGTATTTATCGTTCATTAAATTTGTTTGAGGGTGTAAGTACGCTAAGCCCTTTTCTGTACAGGAAACGGGATGCTTATCGTCGATTGTTTTGGATCTGGACACGTAATTTATCATTCTCTCGCTTACAATCAAATATATTTTTCACTATTAGTTGTTTCTGCCCCAAGTGTATTTATTTATAATAGAAAAACAACTGTTTAGCCTCGTTGACGCCTCTCTTACCTAATACAAAACATATATTGTGATATATCACAAAAGAATCTGAGCACATACCAAAACACAAATATTTTACCCTTAGAAACAAGTAATGTTTACACATAACATTCACACAGAACAAATACAGAACTCATTCATGCTAACTCGCATTCCTTTTCCTTTATTAATTGCCTTTTATGTTTGAAAATTTAAATATTTTCTCCACTACGAAACATTTCTTGGCCTTCTCATAATCTCGAGTCAATTATAAACGTTTGAAATCAACACTTCTCTTGTCGTTGACCGCTGTGGCTGCATGAAACACATCCGTCCAATCGTCGCCGACTTCCAGAATTACCATTTTCATTTTACAACCATTTTATGTTCGCACTGCGAATTCAATCGGCATTCATTAGAACACCACACTTACTATGGAAACATGGTTTCCTTCTACCATCCGTTATGTATCAAGTCTACACGTATTCTGTCGTCTCGTTTTCCCTGTGGTCACTTAAGATCCAGAAACCAATTGCTGATTTTTTTTGTTTATCACTTGCTATTAATGCAATTTCGTTTTCCGTCTAAATTTCATTCTCACCTGATCACATTTTTTAAATTAATTACAAATTTATTCAGGTTATTTGTTTACGTCTTAAAGTCTTTTCATGTTCTATTTATTTAATTCGGCATATATTACTTCAATATACTCTCGGTATGTAGTGTTCACTTGTCTTGCAACGGAAAGTTGTGATTTCTTTTGAATTTCTTGCAAAAGTCTACTCTGTATTTATTTATTATCAGCCTGAAATGTATCTTGATCATTTATTTAGTCCGATCAAATTGTATAATTACGAATTCGATGTTTGCATTCCTCCCTTAAAATTTATATTTATCGCTTATCTATTATCGCTTTTGGAAGCATCTCTTTATCTTTCAATTCCATTTTAAAATGTTCAGAG